GGACAAGGCCAGGGTGTGCCATCCGCACCTGGGGCCGTGCTGGTCAGGACCGGTGTTAGAGAGTGAGGCATGCCCTGCACCGCCCTTAAATCCATGAATTCACAGGGGCGCTGATTGGCTTGGCCCTGGTCAGAGGTGGGTCTGACAAAGGAAAAGGGGGAACTTTTCAGGTAGCTTCTTAAAGGGCCATCTCCATAGCCCTTCCCCCATTATCAAAGACACAACCAAAAACCCCTCACAGAAAACCCAATACAACACTCAGGGCATAATTGATAAATTAATTAAATTAAGCATATTCTGTTCACTAAGAGGAAGGCTTCAGCTCGCCATGCTGATGTTTTGGAGTCGTTCAAAAACTTCACTCAAAAGCAAGAAGGTGAAACTAGCTTTTAATCAATAATTTACAATTCAGAATGCTCAGCAGACACAAAACGCCTTCTAGAAAGTACAGAAGAGTAAAATGGATAAAGATAGTGTTAGGGCTCTGCTTTTGCTTTGACACAAAGGTCACTAATAACAGATATTAACTTCCTGAAGGAAGGTTTATATTTTCTATGGATAGATAGGAAATAATTCCCTAGATCTGACGACAGATACTAGTACTGTTTTGCTTTTTTAAGAGCAATAAAAGAGAAATGCAGTTGTGACTCTCTCAGATGCCTGGATCTAAGTCTCTGGGTTTTTAAAGAACAGGATATCCCAAATAATGTTAAAACAAATTGCAGCAGAAGAGTTCCTGAATAGATTTCCCTTCCTCCCCAATAGCATTTGTAACACTTCTCCAAAAGCCTGAGCTATCTCCTAATCCTTGAATTTCTATTTCTTACACCAGTTCTTTTTAATTCCTGCCAAGAGATAAATTATATATTCCAAGACATAAATATCTATATCTATATCTATATCTATATCTATATCTATATCTATATCTATATCTATATCTATGCCTACTTATCTATATGTTTATATATGTAATAAGTTGGGGAAAACCACTCAAGCTTACACTTAACTTGCTGAAACTAGTTGTGTTTATGAGTGTGTCTCCTCTTTAAGGAGTTGTTTCCAAAGTTGTGAATTCCCAAGAGAATTTACACACCCAGGAGGGCAGCAGCAAAACCCTTGGTCTTTTAATGAAAGAGTCCTATAAACAGTGCCTTTTCTTGGTCAAGGATTGATGCTCTTCATGGCTGGCAAATCACTCTTGCTTTTAATACCAACACTGGGAGAAATTTTTGGCTAATTTGTCCCATAAAATTTTAGTCTAGGAGAGAAAAAGTGTCAGATAAACCGAAAAGGGCCTCAATCTCTAGCTGCCTAGCAGCCTCTCAATCTCATCTGATAATTTAATCAAGATTACTGTGACTCATGATTATCATCCAGTGACTGGAGAGGGCAGCAGCTTGAACAAGCAGATGAAGTGGCTCTACAAAGTGTCAGTGGCCTGAGGCATGTTATCATGCTGGCAAAAAAACCCCCTTGCTGTCCTCAGGCTCTGGTTTATCTCAGATCTTTTACACAAGAGAACTGGTGGTGTGTGACTTACTATTTGCTATACTATGAAGGTCATGGCATAAAAGCATGACCTGGATTATTTGGCAACCTTCAAATTGTTTTAGAGGTGTGCGAAAGTTTCTGCAGCTGACTTAATGTTGGAATGAAATATAAAAATGTGTTTGACTAAATCTAAATTTAAGGAAGCCTCACCTATAACTCAAGGTAGGACACGTGTGTTGAACCTTCCTTATATGGAAAGGTCCTTTCCAATGGTAGAATTTGGTATCTTGATTAACAGTTCAAAATCCCTCAGTGAGTAATTTCTGTGACTATTCCTAACTTCTGTTTTAGAAATATCTGAGCTTAATTTTACCTCCTTATTTTTTTCCTTATTTTTTTTAAAATGCATTATCAACACCTCACTTGGCACGTCTCCTAAGAAGACAGGCTGAGAGAGTTGGGGTGGTTCAGCTTGGAGAACAGAAGGCTCCGGAGAGACCTTATAGTGGCCTTCCAGTACCTGAAGGGGGCCTACAAGAAAGATGGAGAGCGACTTTTTAACAAGTGCAGGTAGTGATAGGAT